TCCTCAAGGTCTTGTAAGAGTTTTGAATTTTCTCCAAGTAAAATGAGGAGGGCTTCTGGGGTTTTGGTCAAATTTGGACATCACCTGATTCATACTTTGATAGAGTCATGTTGCCTGAAGAGTTGACAATGGACTTGGAAAAGAAGAAGCATAGGATAAAGATCAGTTGATGGCCATTGCAGAAATTCAGATAGAGGATGGTGGGTCTTATCAGGCTGAGGGCAGGCATGGTGATGAGAAGGGGTCAGATTCATCTCATGTTTTGAAAGTAGACCTAATCAGATTTCCTATAGGACTGGTTCTGCAGTATGAGAAAGGAATGAGTCAAGAATGAACCCTAGGTTTTTGGTCTCAGCAACTGGAAGGATGGGTTGCTATCAACTGAGAATGGGAAAACTGTGGTCAGAGCAGTGAAAAGAAAGCTCACACTGACACCACCAAATGCTGGTGGGGATGTAGAGCAACAGGCACTCTCATTCGTTGCTGGTAGGGAAGCAAAATGGTACATTTGAAAGATAGTCTGGCAGTTTCCTACAAAACTAACAGACTTACCAGACAATCCAGCAATTGCATTCCTTGATATTTACCCAAATGTGTTGAGAACTTATATCCACACAAAAACCTGCATGTGGATGTATACAGGCAACTTTACTCACAATTGACGACACTTGGAAGCCATCAAGATGTTCTTCATTAGGTGAATGGATAAACTGTAGTACATCCAGACAATGGAATATTATTCAGCACTTAGAGAGAGCGAGAGAGCAAGAGAGCGAAAGCAAGCACTGTCAAGCCATGAAAAGACAATGGGGGCTACTTAAACGCTTATTACTAAGTCAAAGAGGCCATTCTGGAAAAGGCAAAACTATGGAGACAATAAAAATATCAGTAGTTGCCAGAGGTTAGGCAGGAAGGAGGGACCATTAAGTGGAGAATTTTTATGCCAGTGAAACTGAAATTTTAGGGTAGTGAAACTAATTTGTAGAACTATAATGGTGGACACATGTCATTATACATTTATCCAAACCCATAAAATGTACACCAAGAGTGAACTCAATGTAAATCATGGTCTTTGGGTGATTACATGTTATTGTAGGTTCATCAGTTACAACAAATGCACCACTGTAGTGGCGGATGTTAATAGTGAGGGAGACTGTGTATGTGAGGGCATGGGATATATGGGAAATCTCTGTACTTTCCTGTCAATTTTGCTATGAAGCTAAAACTACTCTAGGAAAAATAATTTAAAAACAATTTTAAGGGAGCTCAGAGAAGTTTAAGTGTGAAGTCTGTCATGTCTACTAGATGTCCAAGAATAGGTTGCAAATAGATAATTAGATGATCACTGGATTTTTCAATGGAGATACACACTTTAAAGTTTTGAGCTTATCATTATATTATTTATAATCATGCCATTGCACAAGGTCACCAAAAAGCATATACAATTGTTAAGAAATGATTGTTGATTGGACTCTCATTCGTTACAATACTAAGAGAATGCTTTTTTTTCCCCTTAAGCCAGCATATTCAGTTAAGAATACAACAAAAACCCCATGGGGCCAAAAGCCACTGAAAAAAACTTTAAGAAAAATTTTAAATGTCATTAATGTGTTTATAAGTTCATTAATGATGATGGAGTTGTGAAGACAGAAACTTTCATATGCATGAGTAGAGAACACACAGGAATTGAAATAATAAAAAGAGAAAGTGCTTGTAAAAGTTTAGCCATAGAAGGTTAGGGAGAGCAAATCTAGAAAAGAAAATGTATCAAAGTGAAGGATAGTTATTTTATGAAGTACACAAATCTGACTGATGTTTTTTGTAAAAGAGAGTAAGAGACTGGAGATCAGTGAGGGGTGGGTTTGTCAGTCAAGAGATCTGATAAACCAAGAACAATACTCAAAAGTTAAGACATGGGGAGGTCATCCTTAAGTGTCAATAATGGAGGAATTGACCCCACATGGAGGGTGGCATCAATTCCATTTCAACACAGGGAGCCCGTAAGAGAATTGTTTTAGATTTAGGAGGCAGATGTTGTCAAATGATAACAAATAATGATTTTTTAATGTTTATTTTAGGGGGAGGGGGGAGAGAAAGAGAGAGAGAGAGAGAAAGAGGCGGAGGAGTGGAGGGGCAGGGAGAGAGGGAGACACAGAATCCGAAGCAGGTTCCAGGCTCTGAGCTGTCAGCACAGAGCCCAGCGTGAGGCTCAAACTCATAAACCACGAGATCATGACCTGACCATAAGTCAGACGCTTAACCGACTGAACCATCCAGGCGTCCCCCAAATAATGATTTTCTATTTTCTCTATAAAGGTGGCAGAATATTGGGGCGCCTGGGTGGCTCAGTCGGTTAAGCGTCCGACTTCGGCTCAGGTCATGATCTCACAGTTCATGGGTTCGAGCCCCGCGTCCGGCTCTGTGCTGTCAGCTAGCTCAGAGCCTGGAGCCTGTTTCAGATTCTGTCTCCCTGTCTCTCTGACCCTCCCCTGCTCATGCTCTCTCTCTCTCAGAAATAAAGCATTAAAAAAAAATTTTTTTAAAGGTGGCAGAATATTAACACAGATAAAAGTAATCCTGGAAGAACTTTACAAAGTTAAAAATTGATTTACTTGGCATTCTTGAGATTTTTGTGAATATATTGAGCTAGGAACACCAAGATGGACAGACGGGTAACAGGAGAGGGAAAGGAGCTTCTGGAATAGAGGACGGCTGGAGGATTCAGGTAAGGTCATTGACCAGGCTTTGAGAAGCTTTTAAGTGACAGATCATAAAACAGGTCCTAGATTATCTGGATTCCCCAACTCAGTGATGCAAGCTTTGAAGGCGGTGGGAACAAGCCTAATAAGTAATCAAAATATAGAGTCTTTTTTAGCCCATGGCAACTGTGGAATGTTAGAGCAGTGATTGCTGAGGCACAAGGAGTTACAAGGCTGTAAATAGTAGAGAATATGTTTGTGACCCCAGATGGTGGGTCTGGCTTTCTCCTCTATCCATGGCCAGCTGTGTTATAAATGGCTGCCACGTGCCACTGGGCCAAGAGTCATTGGCATAGGGGGCAAGTATGCTTCCCTAATAGTTTGGATCTAGTGGTTTTGCTGAAAGCAAAGTTCCCATTGGAATCCTAAATAGGAACTGTGTCCTCTGCTACAAATAGTCCATGACGCACCCTGAAGATGCTACTGAGTCCACAGAACTAAAGTGGGGTTAGTGACAAAGAAAAAAATAAGGCTTCAAAAAGCCCTTAGCAGCTGGATATCAGCTTAAAGATTGCAGATTTGGGATAAAAAAACAGTAACAAAATACCTTAGACTTCTAGCTCAGCTTTGTATGTGTTCTCCTTAAAACAAAAGAGAACTAGTGAGTTTCTGTTTTTGAGATGGTGTCTGAGCAAATGGAACATGGAGAATGCAGCAAAGGTTCTCTGGGTTGATAAAAATATAGGTAGGCATTGTGCAATGAGGAAGTCACCATCGATGGTCTCAATAAAATTTCCATGCAGAGATAAGCCTTAAGTTGAACTCTAAGCTTAATGGTAATTATTGATGAGAACCTTAAAAACTGGTTGTAATACTCATATATCTCAATGATTTCACTCAGAGAAAGAATAAGCACTTTGTGGGGGCGCCTGCGTGGCTCAGTCGGTTAAGCGTCCGACTTCGGCTCAGGTCATGATCTCATGGTCCATGGGTTCGAGCCCCACGTCGGGCTCTGTGCGGACAGCTCAGAGCCTGGAGCCTGCTTCAGATTCTGTGTCTCCCTCTCTCTCTGACCCTCCCCTGCTCCCTCTCTGTCTCTGTCTCTCAAAATAAAAGACATTAAAAAAATTTTTTTTTTTAAAATAAGCACTTTGTATTTTCCTAATTCATTTTGGATAATCAGGCCTTAATAATGTCATATTCAAGCAGAATTCAAATGCTACTCATGTCTATCAGTAAGACTGGGAGAAATTATCATGCCCTAGACTTCTCACTTCCAAAAGCATTATTGGTTGTTACAACTGTGCCCTCCTCTGGGCGACCTTTGGTCCTACAAAAAATCCTGGCATCCAGGCCACAAATTAGGACCACAGATACCTGCAGTCTTTCTTAGAAGGCCTTAGGCAGTATCTGGCTTTTTCTGATACCAAATGCATCACTCCAACACCAACTGGGTGTTCAATTCAATTTTGATACTTAACCCCACAGGTTGAGGATTCCATCCTACAACTGTCTCTTCAGATGCCAGCCACAAATGGGGTCCCCAGCGTACTCCCATTTCTGCCAGGCTGACTACAAATTTGGTGTTGCCGTGAGTCCCCACTCAGGTTTGATATTTTGCTAGAATAACTCCCACAACTCAGGAAAATGCTATACTTAACTATTAGCCTCTAATAAAGGACACAAGTCAACAACCAGGTAAAGAGGTACACAGGATGAAGTCCATAAGAACCCCAAGCACATGAACCTCTATCCCGGTGTGCACTCCCCTCCAGGTTGGATGGTGGGAAGCATTATGGTTTAGAGGTTTTTAACAAGGTATCATTATATAGGTACAATTGACTAAATCATTGGCCATTACTGAATGAACTCAATCTCTAGCTCCTTCCCCTCCCCAGATGTCAAGGGTAGGGCTTAAACTTCAAACTGTCCGATGTCTGGTGACCAGCTCCTATCCTGAAGTACCTCTATTGGCCTCCATCTTGAGTCATTTCACTATCATACAAAAGATAGTCTTGTCACTCAGGAAATCCCAAGGGTTTTAGAACCTCTGTGCTAGGAAGTAGGGACAAACACCAAATATTTACTGTTGTTTTTTTTTTTTAAACCAGACAGGAATGCAGATAAAGTAAAAACTATAGTAAGTGGTAGTCTCTGACGTCATACTGTCCCCATGAGGTCCTCAAGAAAGCCGTCCACCTCTCCACAATGGAAGAACCCAATCGTTTTCAACCCACTCCACACAATAAACAAAAATCTTAAGTTTAAAAGTCACTTAATAAGACTTTTATTATTGCACAAACCAGAGCAAGTATGAGACACATAGGTCCCAGGTCAGTGAGTTGGGAGGCTGGAAAATTCATAAAAAATATTGCAGAAGACCAATAATGCCATGAAGAAGGTAAAACTTAAACTACCAGCATTTCCTAGACTGGGTTCTTTGGGCAAAATGGGGTTCAGGTCCCTGCCGTAACTAGTCAGAGGGAAGGGAATGAGAACCCTCCAGGGGATCAGCCTGTGATTCCACTAGAGAATGGGAGACAGCGCGCAAACATCTGTCTTCTCTCAGCACGCGGAGGTGACATGCGTGCCGTGAGGACTTGTCCGGTGTCAGAGGTAAGAGGACTTCTCCCACCACCTGGCAGTGACATCATTCTGGCAAGGTCTGAGCAGGTCAGAATATGAAATGCAGCTCCTGAAAACTCACAGCTGGAATACCCGGCAGACGGCTCCGCACAGAGGCTCTCTAGAGCTGTCACGCTGAACAAAGAGCACATTCACTGAAGGTTTAAGGCCATTATCTTACGTGGAATTTCTTTTTAATACTGAACGAGTTTAGATCTTTGGCTGAGCATTTTTCCACATTTGCTGATTCATAAAACTTATGTGGGTTGTGAAGTTTTTGGTGTTAAATCAGAGCAGACTATGAAATGAAAACTTTGTCGTGTTGGTTGCGCTCCTGAGGCCTTTATCTAGTGTGAAGTTTATGGTGTTGAATGAGGCTGTAGTTTCGCTTAAAGGATTTTCCACATTCACTACATTCATAAGGCCTTTCTCCAGTGTGAACTCTCTGATGCTGAGTGAGGTTAGAGCTTTATCTAAAAGCTTTCCCACATTCACGGCACTCATATGGCCTTTCTCCAGTGTGAACTTTCCTGTGCTGCATGAGGATAGAGCTTTGGCTAAAAGACTTTCCACATTCGCCACATTCATAAGGTCTTGCTCCAGTGTGAATTCTCCGATGTTGAACAAGGCCGGAGCTTTGTCTAAAGAATTTGCCACATTCAGCACACTCATAAGGCTTTGCTCCAGTGTGAACTCTCTGGTGCCGAACAAGTTTGTATTTGTACCCAAAAGCTTTCCCACATTCACTACACACATAAGGCCTTTCTCCAGTGTGAGTACGATGGTGCTGAACAAGTTTATACTTGAACCTGAAGGCCTTTCCACATTCACTGCACTCAAAAGGCTTTACTCCAGTGTGGACTGTCTTGTGCTGAATAAATGTATGCTTGTAGCTGAAGGTTTTCCCACAGTCACTGCTCTCAAATAGTCCTTCTCCAGTGTGAATTCCCTGGTGCTGAACAAGTGTTTGTTTGTGACAGAAGACTTTTCCACATTCGCCACATCTGTAAGGACTTTTTCCATTGCGAAAGGCCTCCTCACACTTCGTACTGCTGTGTATACTCGGTACTGCCTTGGGAGTGGCCTGATGCCGGAGAAGACCCACACTGGCCAGGAAGTCCTTTTCAACTGCCCCACAGGTGAAAGGCTTCCCTAATGAATGGCTTCTATAGCTCTTCCCACAGGAAGCCCTGTCCATGCCTTTGCTGTAGGGCTTTTTCCCACTGTGCTCACTGCGGTGTTGGTGCAGATCTGCGCTGAAACAGAATTGTTTCCCACATGCCACACATGTGTAGGATTCCTGCCCAGTATGTGTTCCTCGATGCTCAGCCAGGTACAAAATGTCCTTCATGACAGGAACACACATCTCACAGAGATGAACCTTCTGGGTAAATAGATTTGGTCCCGAAGTCCTGATTGGTGGTGTCCTTCCCAGAGAAATATTTTGTCCAGAAGGGGACTCCTCATTCTCTATGCCACATAAGCAATCTGAAAACAGAAAAATGCTGGTCAAGTACACGTGGTCTCTGGGGACAAGTGGCAGCCATGTTACAAATACGTGCCTGACACACCCAAGAATGAATGCATGAGGCTGTTTCCGGGAGGAAGGAGCTAAGAGGCAGGAGGCAAGATGAGGGAGGGGCTGCTTTGCAACACTGGGGTCCAAAAGGTCACAGACGCAGCGAGGCCTTGCAAGGCAGGAGGAGAAATGGGATGGAGTCCAGCGGGGAGAGGCAGCCAGGGCTTCTGACTTGCTCCTCCTCCGAGGACTCCCCGGAGGACTGCTGCTCACATGCGAGTGTTGTGAAGCTTTGGTCCAGGAACAGAAGAGTCAGATTGTCAGTGAGTAGCTGGTGTTCAAGGACATTTGAGGAAACGCGCTCACCACCTGCTGGGCCTGGGCCAGCGCTGGGGACGCTGCAAAGGCGACAGTGGAAAGGAATGGGCAGCAGACAGACTGAAGTTGGGAGCATCCAGGGCCAGAAGTCAGAGTAAGAATGACAAACTGGCCAAATATCAAGAACAGGGAAGAAAAGGTGGAAATGAGATGTGGCCAATGGAAATGGCACCAAAACACTGGTTTGAACAGGATTCTGGTATAATGTAAACTCGGTCCGGAGGTCACGTCTTCCCTCAGCTGCCACTCAGCAGGACCAGGCCCCGTCCAGCCTCTCCTCTCCCCCCCCCCGGCAGGAGTGTATCTCTTCTATGCAGCACCCAGAACTCTGCCCAACACCCCTCACTGAGCAACTACACAGGGCTAGCATAACACAAGTCCTAAGGGAAAGACAGGACAGGAAAGTGACCAGTACCAGCCCAGAACAGCTTATGACACAGCAAATCAAAGAAAACTAAACATTACAAAAATAACCTCAGACAAGGAGTGCCTGGGTGGCTCAGTCAGTTGAGCGTCTGACTTCGGCTCAGGTCATGATCTCACGGTTCGTGGGTTCGGGCCCCACGTCGGGCTCTGTGCTGAGAGCTAGCTTAGAGCTTGGGGCCTCCTTTGGATTCTGTATCTCTCTGTCTCTCTGACCCTCCCCTGCTCACACTGTCTCTCTCTCTCTCTCTCGGAAATAAATAAAACATTAAAAAAATTTAAAGAAAAAAAAAAAAAATTTAAAGAACCTCAGACAAAGGTCTCAAGAAAACAGTGTCCATGTCAGTGATGGCAATTCCTGGCACATGCAGGCAGCAGAACCGTCAGAAGGGAGCAAAACCTGAGGCAAGTAAGTACCAAGGATCTGCAGAAGCCACCCAGCCAGGGAGGGGGCAAGACAGGAGGGGTCCATCCGGCTGATGGCCGAGACTGCCTAGAAGGATTATGTAGAATGCTGTCCTACTAGGATCCAGGACAGTGGGTCCTGGGGTAGCAGGGAGAGAAGACGGCAGTACTGCCCAGGCACAGCAACAACAGCACCTCCTCAGGGAACTAGGAACCGACGTGGTGCCCATGGTCTGGGTGTATGGACAGAGCTCGGCCTCCAGGGAAAAGCAGAAAGGCAGAGTTGATTCCCAGGTCACTGTGGTGGGCGTGAGCGCCTTACCCAGGGAGGTTATACGTGCCAAGGTCTCCAGCATCACATCGTGGTACAGGCATCTCTGAGCCTCATCAAGGAGCCCCCACTCCTCCCAGGAGAAGTACACGGCCACGTCCTCCAAAGTCACATTGTCCTGTCATGTTGGGGACAGATAAAACCACAGCCTCCCTCCTGAGGACCCCCAATCCAAACCCACACATCTACCCCATGCCCATCCTCTTCCCAAGCTCCCCGCCTCGGCAGAGAAACCAGGTTCTTCTGCTGGTTCTGTTCCTTCCTCATGGTTCTATTAACCAAGGTGCCCAGCCCTCAGCAAGTACAGGCAGGAAGGCAGGGACGCCATCTATGCTCAGGAACACGCCTGAGGGTTACATGACTGCATCTCTTCCTGCCATGCAGTTCTCTGGGGTCCCCCACGATCATGCCTCACAGTAGTATCTGGGGTCATCCATCGCCCTTAACCTCCAATACCAGGGCCCAGGACCATCACTTCATACTCCCTCTCTCCACATGCACTCCTCTGGACCCCACAGCCACTGCCAACTCCCTGCCCCACACCATACACGTCTCCCTGGACTTGCTCCAAGTGACCCGGTACATGGCATCCAGAAAGAACTTGGCAAATTCAAACACGATCCAGTACTACCCCGGACTGCTGATGAACCCCAACACCAGGGGTGGCCCTGGACATGCTCTGAAGGCCTCTCTGCCTGTTCCTAATCCTTGCTTCAACCTCAGTCACATAGAACCATATGTGAATTTCAGATACCCGTGACACTTTCCCAGATCTGTGCTGCACTTGCTGTCCCTTCAGCAGCCACAACCATCTTCTTTCCATCTGACTCTCTTTGAAAGCCCAGCCATACTGGTACCAGGCATAGGGATTCTCACAGATGACCACATTAGCCCCAGACCTTACCACCAAAGCTCACCAGAAAATCATATAAAACCCCTCTCATCCCAATTAATCCTATGCCTCCATATCTATCTCAGGTCCGCTTCCTTTGGAAGTCTTGGTCACCCGCCAAGACTATCGTCCCCACATACTCCCTTTGTGGTTACTTCTCTCCTACATCTTTATTTATGATACTCCTAACCCCCAACCAGGTGGCCAAGCAATAGATCCAGTCCTCAAAACTCTAACTCTTCTTTCTGACCTGCTCCTTAACATTGCTGCCATGACCTGAATTCCATCTTCTAAATTTAACCCACAGCCTGGTGCACACACTAGCCACCACTTTTGGGTGCCCCCACCCTAAGCCCCACCCCAGGTTTCTAGACCGTGTGCAGCTGCCCACTCGATGCCACCATTCATCTGTTCTCTACTCTAAAGTATCTCAGAATCTTAACATGGCCAGAAACAAAGCTCTTGCTATCCCCAGTGAAAATCACTCCTACTACGGATTTTCCCATCTCAGTTCAGAGAACTTCCCTTCTTGCCGCTAAGACCAAAAACTTTAGTGTCATCTCTGACCCCTTCCTTTCTCTCTCTCACCCTCAAAATCAGCTCTTTTTGAAAAATGGATCCAGAATCCAACCACTTCTCCCACCTCCACAGCCACCACTCTGGTCCGTGGACACTCACCTTGACTATTCCGGTACTCTCAACCCTGGTCACCCTTCCTCTACCCTCGCCCCCAAAGTCTGTTTTCCACTCTATCACCCGATGGAGGCTATTTGGACCTGAGTACATCACCTCCCTCCTCCGCCCCAAATCTCCCATTACAGTTGCCCAACTTCTCAGGCAGCCGTTTCCAAGACTAACTCCAGCCCCCCTGCTGTCTGCTCCTAAGAGGAAGAAGACATGGTGTGCCCTGTCCCCACACCAACAGGCACTTGCACATGCTGGTACGCGTTCCTGTGATCACCTTCTACACCTCTTCCCACTGCAGAAATAAGAACTCCTGCATACGAGCCGCAGCCTGGACTCAGGGCAAGTCTAGATCACTCCCTGGTCGTGGGATTTCTCCCAGATCCCCAAACCAGGAGGGCTGGCGGAAAGGCAGGTGACGAGCCCAGGGCACCACAATCCCAAAGTTGATATGGTGAGATCCAAACCCGCGGGGCCCAGGGACACCTTCCACCTCACTGTGTAGGTTCCGTAAGTGCCACTTCAGCCACGAGGACCTATGGGCTGAAGCCACAGATGCCGGGGACCACGGTGTAATCCAACCAGCCCGAGCCTCCCCTGTATCTCTGTCCAGCCCTGGAGGCCAGGCCTTGGGCTAAAGCACTAAACTCAGAATTTCAGTCCTCAGCGCTCCCCGTTCCCAGTTCTGTGAGCTTGGACGCAACCTCCCTGGGCCTCGCCGTCCTCATCACCCCCATTCCAGTCGGTTCTCCCTGAGCAGCTCCTGGAAAACTGTTAAAGCCCTAAATCAGACCGTGTCCTCATTCTCTTCATAACCATCCTTGGGTCCCAGCGCCCCTACCGCACCTCAGCCCGCCAGGCCTCCGTGATCGCGACGCACATCCAGTGTCCCCCAAGGGTAGAGGGCGGACCCCACATCCGGAATCTTCCCCTTCTGGACCTCCAGCCCCTGCACCAGCCGGTTCCTCCCCTGCAGCCCGCTCCCGCACCCTGCCACGCCGGCGCGCGGACACGGGGACCTGGGCCCAGGAACGCGAGCAGGTGCCCCGTGCTCGGGCCTTGAGGGCCCGGGAGTCGCGCGTTTACCTGAGACCGGTCCCCTGGCGTGGCCGCCGCCATCGGACTCTGTGGGCCGGCGGTCCCTGTCTCGGCCCCGCCGCGGGGCAGCACGAGCGGCGTCGCAGAGCCACGGACCCCAGTCTGTGCGGCGGGGACGGCGCCTCTTCCCGCTCAGTCATCACAGTCCAGACCACGCGTGACAGACCTGGAACAGACCCAGGAACACCCAAAATGACCTTCACAACCAGGGCGCCGGAATTCCCGCCCAAACCACTGCACACGCATGAAAGAGTTCTTATCTTGGGCTTTCATTGGCTCAACCCACTGCCTCTCGGCGCGGAGCCCTCTGGGTAATGTAGTAGAGGCGCTGACGAAGGTGTTCCCTACCAGAACCATCCCAAAGACTCAAGTTCCGCCAGGACTCCTATGGTCCCGAAGGCTTCTCTAAGGGATTTAGCACAGGGGAGTGCTGTCTGCAAGTGATCTTCAAAAGTTCTTAGAAGCATGATTTCAGACCCCACGAAGCTCAGCAGGCTCCCATTCTGAACTCATTAGTTGAGAAAACTCCTTGTGAGGTTAAGGCAAGTTTGCATGGCCTCTTGCCCTCAGATGCCCACGGATACCCAGCCCCCACTCAATTGTTTCTGCTAGAGCACCAACCCACAAGGCACCTAGCTGATTGGTATTCAGAGTGACTTATTCTGGCATTGTGAAGGAACTTATTGTAGGAACTTCTTCCGTGACTATGGGAGCAAACATTTGTGTTTTCTGAAAAACCTGTTTTTCTTAATACTTCCCCTTAAGCAAACAGGCTATTGACCCCCTGCTCACAAAGAACTAACTTTGCCTTTGCTATGCTAAAGACATTATCTTGTATTTGAATGCTAAAGATAACCTTCCTTCCCCATAGAATAAGCATCTAAATCATCTACCTTAATCACTATTGATAAAGGTTATGCATGAGTCTTCTACAAATCTATGTTCTGGGAAATTCTTACTTATCGAAGAAATTTGTCATCAGAAATCACTGTCTAAGGCAAATGCCACTTCTGTGTTGTCCCCCAAACACTTAAATTATAAAATAAAGTGGAGTCTCTGTCGTGGCAGAGATGCCTGCCTGGTGACCAGAAAGAATCTCAGGGCTCTCTCATCCCTCTCTCACTGACACCATCCATCCTTCAGGGACACCTGGACCTGCTGGAGCCCGACTCCGGCAGCTCCCGAGATTAAAAACAATATTATAGGTGTGACCAAAGGCTGCTACTGATACAAATGCACATATCATTCCATAAAGCCATTTCAACATAAAAATATGTACATTCTTAGCTGTAAAGTAATCAACATCATCGTATTCTTCTTCATAGGCATGTAACCTCAAGCATTGGCGTCACTTTTGTGAGCTTCAGTACATTCAGTCAAGAACAAGAGGACAAGAGTGGACAGGTGCATAAGAGAAAGACGGAAAAGGGATGTGGGGCTGCGCTGAGGCAAACGGACAAGGGTGAAGCTTTGCCTCTAGATCCCACAGAAAACGTCTCTCCCACCTGTATATTGTGACTGTGTCCTACCCAGTGAGGAACAATGTTTAATCCATAGGATACTTCTTTCCCTGTATTCCAAGATATTCAATTCCTTTCAGTGATCTGCCGTGTGTCTCAAATGGAGAGCAACCAATTTCACACTGGGAGCACAAGTGCAAAGGGTGCCATCTGAACCCCAAGAGGAAGGGAGCACCTGAACTGCATGATCTCATCGCCTTGCTGGGAAATGACGATCATTTCTGCTATTACTGAAGGGAAAGTTCCACAAGGGAATTCAGATTCTCTCAGAAAGGAGTGAAATAGAAATTACAGAGTTTTAATAAAGTTTATTTGGTTCTTTAAAGATAGTAACAGGAAGCATCAGTGAAGGGAGCAAAAATTTAAGACTTTGGGGACACCTGGGTGGCTCAGTTGGTTGGGCGTCCGACTTCAGCTCAGGTCACGATCTCATGGTTTGTGAGTTCGAGCCCCACATCAGGCTCTGTGCTGACATCTCAGAGACTGGAGCCTGCTTCAGAATCTATGTTTCCCTCTCTCTCTCTCTCTCTCTCTCTGCCCCTCTGCCACTCCCACTCTGGCTCTCTCGATCTCTCAAAAAAAAAATGAATAAACGTTAAAAATTTTTTTTTAATTTAAGACTTCAATGAAATTTAACAAATCATTTAAGTCTGAGAAGAGCTAGAATCCATTGAGCATGTGCTGGAGCCTTGGTCACTTTGAGGATATTGTCTGCAGAAGGTGATTCTTTTTCATTCATGAGCATATTGAGCAATACCAGCTTGGAGAGCTAAAGAGGTCATTTAGAGTAGCCAGAAGAATAAACATAAACAAGAATTTGAGGTGTCATGTTTACTCATTGCTCTAACAAATATGTATTGTACACACAAATAAACCACTTAGAAGTGTGTGTATTTCTTACAAGAATTATAGCAAATACTTAGTAAGCAATGCCAAAAATAGAATCTAAAAATAATAGAGTATGTAAAAATGTACAATCTATGTGAGATGAAAGACACCAAATACTTTAAAAAACGTGAACTGAGTCTATAAAAGTTCTGTGAATCTTGGTGAATCCTAGACAAACATGCCACTTAAGAACTGCAGTCATAGACAAAGCAAGTCCTATCTCATTTCTTTGATCAAAGTACTTACTGTAGAGACACAATTAGGGACTATGCTAGGGGTATCTTTCTTTCAGGACAAGAGGAAAATGCCCACCCCATAGGTTTGTTTTGTTTTGTTGTTGTTTTTTTTTTGGCTGGGATTTAAGGAGTTAGATCAGACTAAGTTATCACTGATCAAAGGCTAAGAGCGATGAAAACTTTAGAAATCCCAATAAATTCACCATATCCAAAGCAAGTGCCAAGTTCTGAATATATCAAAGCACTTTTACATCTGGTTATATGTCAGAGTCACACTTAGACCTGACCCCATCTACATTTCTGGTCATTCTCGCTCCCCAATTCCTAGAACCTTTTTATCACTTTTTATATAACATGACTTCTATTTCTCTAAATAGCAGATGGAAGTTTATTTACTCTTCTCTGCATTGGCCACAGATACTTACTACAAAGGTAATGTCACAGGCACAATAAGGAGAATCCTGCACCCAGATATACAAGAGAAAGAAGATGGAAGTTTTCAGTTTTCATGCTGATCTCTCACCGTTTTTAGAGACATTCTATTACAGACACCCAAACACAGCAAGGCCCAGAAGATAAAACAATCAAACAACAACAACACGACACACACACTCACCCCATACGCTAACATTTATAAACTTTTTATTTTCCTGATGCTCCAACATCCCCCCATCAGGTGAATACCAGCAGGTGACCAATGCACCAGAGTGATGAGGCTGGCCAGCGCCCCAAGTTCCCCTTCTTGCTTTCTCCTCTCTCTGACTCCTGTCTCTCTTTGTTCTGTGTCTCTTTGTCTCCTCTCTATTCCCCTCGGGCTTGAACCAGCGACCTGAGCTCTCCTCCCATCTGGCCCCAGCGTCTACACCTGGCCTCCCTCTTCTAGGACCTGTAAGTATAATAAAACTCTTTAATTTCCTACCTCCCAAAGTGTAATTGCTGCTGCCCTGTGGGAGTAAGCCTTGAAGACCCCACAAGGGAGGGATTACTCCTCCACTAGGCCCACAGGGAGGGGATGATCTGAACTCAGGAAAGTCCCCAAGAGATGCCCTTGACTGCGCACTTACTGCTTGGCTCCCCTGACTACCTGCACACAAGATAAACCTACCTGAAGGTCTTGAGATTTCTGTACACGCACAGCCTGCAGTAAGTCACCGAAACATCTGCGGGTGCGTCTTTGGGAGACACACTCCGTGTACCCTGCTGCCGTCTCTTCCACACTCTATTGATAGTGTTTCTGTGCCAATTATGGGTCTCACAGCTAGCGACAGGAGCCTACTGAATCCTGGTTGTCAGGGTGCACAGCTCCTTGCAGAACCTGGGGTTGATTCCCCTCAGCACTGCTGGGCGCTGGGATATCCCTCGTGAACAAGGAAAAACTCATGTTGTCTCCAAAAGCACTGGAAGTTGTCACAACTGCCCCTTTCTCAGGGTGACCTCAGGCCTCCAGGCAAAAACTCAGGACTACAGAGCAGTCTTTCCTAGGAGGTCCCAGCGGCAGTGCAAACTATGATAAAACTGGAGAGTACTACACTCTACCATCACACTGTCCCCTCTGAGGCACCCAAAGTTTGCATCCCCTACACAACCTTCCCCTTCAAGTTGACAGTCCTTAGATACCCGACACTGTGGAAAGAATTCCAAGATTAAAGGTGCTTAACAGGAAGGCCTTTACTATTGCACAAACCAGCCACAGGCCTGCAACCACTTACGGTTTGGTGACTTGAAAGCTGGAAAACCTCATCAGGAGCATTACCTGAGGCCAGTTAGGTCTCTCAAAAAACTAGTTTTTCTGTACAAGCCATCAGCAGAACCCAGTTTTCTAGAGGCCGACAGAGGGTCAAGTCCATGCGCTACCTTGTCAGGAGAGAAGGGAATAAGATCCCACAAGGGCTCAGTATACTCTTGGTTTCCTCTCGTGTGCAGCAGAGCAGAGGTCAGCTTTGCTAAGTAAACCATGGTGGTGACTGACGCACCCTGGGGGGACTTGTCAGGTGGTGGAGCTGAAATGGCTGTTGCCACCGACACTGGCAGTGAGCTTGGACAGGTTGCACATGCTTCCCGCATAATTGAAACTTACAGGGAAATCTCTAGTCTATAGATGTTTTGATATGTAAAATTCAGTTCAGGCAGATGGCTCGAGAGGCTTTCCTCCAACACAGTTTAAGGAAAGGACACATTTCTCTGCACCTGTTTCACCTTGTGTGAACTCCTCGGTGTTGACAGAGATCAGTTTGCAACTAAAGGATTTCTCACATTCACCGCAGGTGAGCTCTCCTATGTCGAAGGAGGCCAGAGCTCTGGCTAAAGGATTTCCCACACTCATTGCACTCAAAAGGCTTTGCTCCAGAGTGAACTGTCTGGTGTCGAACAAGGTGGGTTTTACGGCTAAAGGATTTCCCACATTTGCTGCACTCATAAGGCCTTTCTCCAGTGTGAACTCTTTGGTGTTGAATGAGGACAAATTTCTCACTAAAAGATTTCCCACACTGAATGCACTCATAAGGCCTTACTCCAGTGTGAACTCTCCAGTGTCTCATGAGGTGGGTTTTGCAACTAAATGATTTCCCACATTCAGTGCATTTGTAAGGCCTTGCTCTAGTGTGAGCTCTTTTGTGGCGAAGAAGGCCAGAACTTTGGGTAAATGATTTCCCATATTCAATGCATTTATAAGGCCTTTCATTAGTGTGAACTCTCAGGTGTTTAATAAAGATAGATTTTTGGATAAAGGACTTCCCACATTTGCTGCACTCATAAGGCCTCTCTCCAGTATGAACTCTTTGGTGTTGAATGAGGTCAGATTTCTGGCTGAAAGACCTGCCACATTCTATGCACTCATAAGGCCTTGCTCCCGTGTGAACTCTCCCGTGTCGAATGAGATGGGTTTTGCGGCTAAAGAACCTCCCGCAAACACTACACTTGTAAGGCCTTTCTTCAGTGTGAATTTTCCGGTGCTGAAAAGGTCTGCATTTGCAGCTGACGTCTTTTCCACATTGGTTACATTCATCAAGATCTCTCCGTTGTGGAATCTCTGGTGGTCAAGCGTATAAGTGTTGCTAAAAGCTCTCCTGCATGCGATCCATTTGTGACTCGTTCCACTGGTAAAGGGCTCCCCACACTGAGGGCTGCTCTGTGGCTTCACACTATAGGGCGGATCCAGGTGCTGGAGAAGGCCTGAGGCAGCCAGAGTCCTTTCCACCCTCCCCACAGGTAAAGGGCTTTGCTGACACATGGAATCTGCAGCTTGTCACTAACAAGGCACTGTCCATAACCATTTTGAAGATTTTCTCTCTACTGTCATGCATCTGAAACTGGTGAAGGTTTACACCAAACCAGAAGCCTCTGGACGCCCCACCCAAGTATGACTTCTGCCCAGAATATGCCGTTCGAAGCTCAGAAGGTTGCAAGCTGTCTTTCAAGACTGGGACACAATTCTCACAGAGATGAGTCTTCTGGATTGATGAACCTGCCTTAGAAGTCCAGACCTGTGATACTCTTTCTACAGAAACACTCTGCCCATAAGGTACTTCCTCATCCTCTGCTCCACACCAACAATCTGGAAGCAGAGAAATGCTGATAAAGTCCCATCAAAAATGTGTGTCATAAATATACATTTGAACCAAAGGTGGAATCCATGAGTTTAATTTCAGAATGAGGCACCGATCTGAAGGAAGGGGTGCTTTGTAGTACTGGGCCTCCAAAGATGACAGAATGAGGGAGTCCTTTTGGGACAAAGGGCACAAGTATGGGGCGCCACACAGGGAGGGGAGGCAGGATCACTAATTCATTCCTATGCCAATAGCCTTCCGCAGGAATGTGTTTTCTGGGGACAAGTCCACGCTACTCAGAACGATGTCTTGCCCAGGCCCAGGGAAATACCAGTGGAACTAAGTATCTGGTGTTCAAGGATGATTTGTGGCTGTGTGCACCCCTCACAACACGTCATGTGTGGGAGAACTGCAGGCCATGCAGTGGAAAGGAACAAGTGATGGAGGTCAGAAAGCTGGGGACAGCCAGGAATGGAAGTCACTGCTGAAATGTGACTCCGAATCAGAAAAGTGTTAAGGATGCAGCAAAAGGGTGTAGAAATGATGTGTCCAGTGGCACTTGCACCAAAACCCTGGTGAACACAGCCCGGATGTCAGGGCCCCTCCAGCAGCTGCCACTCCCCAGGCCCAGGTCTCCTCTGAGACTGCCACGTTCACCCTGCGAAGCAGCCAGCACTCTCCTCAGATCCCAGTTGTGGAACTACGTGGGGACTGAGTGAAGCAAGTCCTCAGGGAAAGACGGGACAGGTGAGGGGTCAGCACCGGCCCAGAGCAACTCAGGAAACATCGGACCACAGAAAAGAATACTGCAATAAAATCTCAAAGGACCGTCTTTCAAGAAAGGTTTAAGGACCACGTAAGTAGGGGCCAGGACAGTGCTTACAATCCCTGATACAGGCGACCACCAGGAAATCTTTTAAAAGTTCTTATCACAGGTAAAACTATTTAGAACCCTGTATGGTAATGAATGTTTATTACATGTAACGCGGTAAGCATTCTGCAACATACACAAATATCAAATCGTTACGTGGTACACCTGAAACTAATATGTTGCATGTCAATTATATCTCAATTTTTTTAAAAAAAGGGGGGGCAAAACCTGGGGCACAAGATGCCACAAATCTGGACACAGTCATCCCAGATTTCCAGACCTATCCCTGCACACGCTGGGGTAGCAGGTGTTAGGGCAGCTTGCTGACGGCACTACTTGGGGCAGGGCACACTGCTTAGCACTGGCACCCACAGCACACAGGCAAGGAAGCAGGGAAGTTAGCAGTGGCCAAGGTTCAGCTCTGGGAGAGGGAGAGAGAGCAGCTCAGGACACTGAGAGGAAGATGAAGGCCTTACCCAGGGATGTTGTGAGTGCAAAGGTCTCCAGCATCACGTCGTGGTACAGGAGCCGCTGAGCCTCATCAAGGAGCCCCCACTCCTCCTGGGAGAAGTACATGGCCACGTCCTCAAAGGTCACACAGCTCTGCCACAGTGGGGACAGTTCATTCCATAATCAGCTTCTCCCCTAGGTTCTCCTCGCAAGCTCATCCACCCACTCATTCTTCCCCTGCTCAGCCACCTCCCCATGGCCCCATCTCAGAGGGGGTACCAGGCCCTGGGGCCACTGATGCATACTCTTTCCTCCTGGTCCTTTAGATCACTATGACCACCTACAGCAACAACAGGCAGGTGGCACTTAGACGATACTTAAACTCTGGGTCTGGCCTGCAGAGAAACTCTCTTTCTCATTAAGCAATTCTCCCAGGATCCTCCAGACCCGATCTCCCAGACGTAGCTGCGGCTGTGGGCTCCCACTTCACCCTCACGTCTTCAAGGTCAGGGCCCTCGGCCTCACTTCCCACTCTCTCTCCTAGTCCTCCCTGCTCTGCGCCACAGGCACCACCCCCCACCACTCCTTCCCCCACTGCGTATAGAGTCTGGCAAATTCCAACACATTCCAGAACTACAGCAGCACACCTCCAATGGTCCCCACTGCCAGAGGCAGCCCAGAATCCTGCTCCGTAGGTCTCCCTGCCTGACAGCTACTCGCTTCAACCGCAGCCACACAGAACCACTTGCGGACCTCAGGCACCCACCCCCCTCCTCCACTTGTGCTGCGCCGGATCGGCTCTCACCGGTCAAGCCTTCTTCTCTCTTCCTAACCCTCATCCAGAGCCAGTCCCACAGCCTTTCCACCCCGGGTCCAGAGATTCTCCTATGTGAGCACCTGGCCCCGAGCTAATCCACCGGCCTGACCAAAACTCCCCAGACACGCCAAGGTCACAACAAAGTCCTAGTGGCCCCAGAGCGGTGAGTAAGCAGCAGTCCTGGCCTCACTGCCCTCGTCTCCTGCTCCCGTCCCGTGTGCACCCGTCCCCGGAAGCCTTGGCCACCTGTCGGGTCATCCTCTCTCCCACACTGTTCCCACCGCTTCTCTCTTTCACTGAGCCACACAGACACTGGTCTGTCACCCAACTAGGTGACCAAGCACGAGACCCAGCCCTGTGACCCCGCTCTCCCCTTCCGAGACTACTATTAACATCATTATGGCTGGGATTAGCCCCCCAAAACGTGTTATGGACTGAATGTATGCATTCTCCAAAAGTGGTACGTTTGGAGCCCTCACCACCAGCGTGATGGTATTGGGAGGTGGGGCCTTTTGGGGCGGTAATCACGTTTTGATTAGGTCAGGAGGGTGGGACCCTTTTAAGAAACCCTTCTACTTTTTTCTCTCTCACCTTCAAAAACAACACCTGACCGCTGCAAAATCCTCCCCAGTCTTCCCGCCGCCTAGCGCACGCGCCCAGTGTCTTCTCTGCGCTGCAGCCACGGGAGCGTGATGAACAGATCCTGCCTCTGCTCCAAACCTCCCCCTGCTCCCATCATCTCCAGAACAGACACCCAGCTTCTTGGGGGGCCATCCCAGCTCTGACTCCTGCCCCCTTGCTCTCTGTTCTCATGAGAAAGGACACATCCCCTCCAAAGGCCTGCAGACACTGGTACCATACTGGGGCACCCATCCTCCACAGAACCCCCTGCCTGGTCTGTGGACCCTGGGCTTAGAGCCTGCTCCCTGGCCCCAGGACCAAGGCCCGAAAGAATGATAAATGCAGTGTCAGGAGACCACAATCCCTGAGATTAAGGGACGGATCAGGACCAGTGAGGTTCTAGAACACCATCCACTCACTCACCTCTGCAGGGTCCGTAAGTGCTTCTGTACTGGTAACAATCTTCACAAGAGGGAAGTTCGGAGAGGCAGGTGACCATGGCAGGGCTCCCTGGGCTCCGGGCTCCCCTGCACTCTGCCCGGCCCTAGAGCCAGTTGACCCGGGACGACTGCATTCTCTCTGAGCCTCAGAGCTGAGTCTTAACAGCTGTGTGACCTTGGACAGGGACCAAATCTCCCTCTGATCTGGTCGCCTTAGCAGCTTGTAGAAAACTTTTTAAGAAATCTAACCCACGTGAGGCTTTTCATGTTCCCAATTCTCAATGGCTCCCAGCCTCTGATGGCCGCCGGCCAGTCCCCCTATGACTCCGCCGCACACCCTGTGTTCCCTGAGGGAGGAAGGCGGACCCCACAGCCCCGAATCTTCCCGCCTCGGGCCCACCTGCAACCCTTGCACCAGCCGGCCCCTCCCCTGCAGCCCGCTCCCGCACCCCGTCACGCCGGCGCTCAGACACCGGGCCCCCGCCCACGAGCGCGTCCCCGGCCCGGACACCGGGACCTGGGCCGCAGGAACGCGAGCAGGTGCCCCGCGCTCGGGCCTTGAGGGTCTTGGGGGTGGGGGGAGCGAGGAGGGCCCGGGGACCGCGCGTTTACCTGAACCAGGTCCCTACGCTCGGCCACCGCCATCGGACTCTTGGCGGAGCGGACACCCGGGCCGGCGGTCCCTGTCCCGGCCCCGGCGAGGGGCAGCCCGGGCTGCGTCGGCGAGTCGCGGACGCCAGTCTGTGCGACGGGGACAGCACCTCCTCTCGCGACTTCTCAGTCCCGTTACCTCAGTCTCCACCAGCGCTCAGGAGTCGATGATCTAGCAAACAGACCTAAGAACAGCCAAGACTACCGCCACGAGGAGGATACCGGAAGTCCCGCCCCGAAGGGATGCGCACGCACGGAATTGCCCTTCTCAGGAGTCTCTATTGGCTAAACGCCGACGACGCCCGGTGCAGCATCCTCTGGGTAGTGTAGTTCCCACAGCCCGAAAAGCCCTGGCGCCGGGCGCCCCTCAGCCAAAGGCTGGGAGGGAAAGGTGCTGAGAGGTGGTCTTTCCAGCTTCCAAGGGCAGGGGAGGGCCCTCTCTCCTTTAAGGGGCCGCACTTAGACTTATAAGGAGTATTGTCTGCAACTGATCACCTACGTGTTTAGAGAAGTTATTTAGGACTCCTTGAAATTAGCATTCTCCCGGATTCTAAAAGTATTATTTCAGGATGCTCCCAATGACTCTACATCCCTACCACAAAGTCGTGCAGACACAAAACGTAGAGCCCAATAGTTTATCTTTTTCCTTTTCAAATGCCCTTAGCCCGAAACGTTAGAGTCAGCTTTGTGAGTTTCAGTATGCTGGGTTAAGAACAAAAGAAAAAGACTCTGCACAGGGACAAGACAGAGAAGATACAAAAGGGCTATTAGACTGCCCAAAGCAGGACAAAGGTGGAACTTTGTTTTTGGTTCCCACAGAAAATTTCTCTGCGGGCCATATATGTAGTTATTGTGTCCAACTAACTGAGGAACACGAGTTTGTATACATTATATGTCTTACTCCGTCGTATCCTTAGATACATTTAATTCCTTTTAGGAATCTGACAACATTTAAAAGAAAAGCCACCTGTGCTGACAAGGCAAAGACTGCTTGGGATTCTCTCTCTCCCTCTCTCTCTGCCCCTCCCCCTGCTCATACTCTATCTCTGTCAAACTTTAAAAGAATAAAAAGGCCACTTACCAATGTCATTTTGTAAAAGGACAGTGTCTAGAGTGTCCACCAGTATAGGAGCACATGTGTAAAGAGGATACCCGACCATGGAGTAAAGGTTTGGGATGCTAAGATCTCATCCATTTGATGGGAAGTTATTATCATTCCTGCTGCCACTGCAGGGGTGGTGTCTGTATGGGGAGCTGAGATCATCTCAGAAACATTTGTGAAATGAAAATCACTGAAAGCCATTAATAATGGTCAGGTAGTCATTCAAAGATAGTGGCAGGATAGCGCTGGGAAAATATCAGTAAAGAGTTAAAAAAATTAATACTTCTACCATCTTCCATTAGCAAATTATGCCTGAAAAATATGTATATGCCAACAATGGCTATAGAGTACCTGTGAGTTCAGCACATTTTCTTACTGATCTTCACTTCATGCATAACGAAGGCTTCAGAGTGGATATTGTGAGGATCAGTTAGTTTGGCCAGAGATGGAAGATGAACTCAGGCTATCAGAGGGAACACAGAAAAGTAGGTAGCCCTAAAGCTAGTAGACACGGGCGACATGTTTTTGGGCCCCTCAGAAACCATCCACATGCCGTTCCTTGTATTTATGTCCCAAGTCAAGCAAGCAGAATTAATTTTTAGGACAGTATTTCTTTATGATTTTCGTATGTTCTTTCTTAAATTTAACACTTATCTGGAAATAGTATTTACCAAATTGTCATTTGCTGCCAGGATGGTGTTTGTCATGGTGGTATCCATGTGTGTGTAAAAATAGGTATATGAGCCTTGAGATAAAGGCCTATGTATCTGTCATCTCATCTCTTTCTGGGAAGTTATTATCACTTCACCTGTAATTGCTGTGACTGCATCTACATGAGGACTTGAGATGATCTCTGGAAAATATTTGCAAAATATGCAACTCCTTGAATGCTATTGATAATAATATTACCCATAAAAGATACCAGAAATACTGGGGAGAATACGTATCTTTAATTATTGAGATAATTAAAATATCAATAGCAGGTGAGCAAAGGACTTTCCATTCTATGAAATAAAATAAAGTAGGGACCAGACTGTATTCTGAGTTCCTGGCATCCGAAGGGTTTCTCCAAATGTGATATTTTTTTTTATTTTTTTTTTTTTTATTTATTTCTAGGAGAGAGAGAGAGAGACAGCGTGAGCAGGGGAGGGTCAGAGAGAGAGGGAGTCATAGACTGAAGCAGGCTCCAGGCTCCGAGCTGGCAGTCAGCACAGAGCCCGACGCGGGGCTCGAACCCACGAACCGCGAGATCATGACCTAAGCGAAAGTCGGACGCTTAACCGACTAAGCCACCCAGGCGCCCCTCCAAATGTGATATTTTAAAATCCCCGCGGACACTTAAATATAGCAGATTTGAGGGGCACCTGAGTGTTGGGAGCCATTCTGAACTCACTAGTTGAGAACACTCCTTGTGAAGTTAAGGCAGGTTTGCAGGGTCTCCTGCCATCAGAGGATGACCGATATCTGCCCCCACTTAATTGTTTCTGCTTGAGCACCAACCCCCGAAGCACCTTGCTGATTGGTATCAGGAGTGTCTTTTCCCCTTATTCTGGCCCTGGTGTAATGATTGCACCTTGTGGAGAAACTTGTATGAACTTCTTCCTTTGTGGTTATGGGAGCAGACATTGTGTTTCCCGAGGATCCTATTTTTCTCGATACTTCCCCTTAAGCAATAAACAGGCTATTGACCCCTGCTCATAAAGAACTGACCTTTGCCTTTGCTATGCTAAAAACATTATCTTGATTGTATTTGAATGCTAAAGATACCTTCCTTCTCCATATGATAAGCATGAGTACCCTACATCAACCACTAATGATAAGGTTATGCATATCAATGTTCTGGAAAATTTTTACTGATCAAAGAATTTATCATCAGAATGCCACTTCTGTGCTGTTCCCCATACACTTACTCATAAATAAAGCTGAGATTCAGTCAGTGCAGAGATGCCTGCCTGGTGATCAGAAAGAAACTCGAGGCTCTCTCTTCACTCTGTCCCCAACACCGTCATCCTTCAGGGACCCCTGGACAGTCTGGAGCGCGACTCCGGCACCTGGGTGGCTCAGTTAAGCGTCTGACTTTAGCTCAGGTCATGATCTCATGGTTTGTGAGTTCAAGCCCCACATCAGACTCTGCGCTGACAGTTCAGACCCTGGAGCCTGCTTCGGATTCCATGTCTCCCTGTCTTCCTACCCCTCCCCTGCTTATGCTTTCTCTCTCTCTCAAAAATAAACATTTAAAAAATACCAGATTTGAGGGAGACAGAGAGGAAGAGAATTAAGAAAACTCTTCTAGGGTGATAAATTTGAACAAGGAAACAATGGTGTCTCATTTTTTAATTTCAATAAACATTTATTGAGGGGCACCTGGGTGGCTCAGTTGGTTAAGTGTCCCACTCTTGATTTCAACTCAGGTCATGCTCTCACGCTTCGTCAGTTCGAGCCCTGCACCAGGCTCTGTGCTGTCAGCACAGAGCCTGCTTGGGATTCTCTCTCCCTCTCTGTGCCTCTCCCTCTCTCTCTCCCTCAAAATAAATAAATAAAAATTAAAAAAATTATTGAGCACATGTGGTGTGTTAGTCTTTTTATTGGATGTGCATAATGTGACAGGAAACAAATGAGACAACAAACCCTATATCATGTTGCTTATAATCATATGAAGGATATTAATACAAATAAATATAAGCAACATAGTATCTTTGAAGTGGATAGGTGCTTTGAAACAGAAAAAAGGATAACGATGAGAAGTGTAAGAGCGTGACTGCAGATGGGTTGTGATACTGAAGAGGGTTTGTCAACTATTCCTCAATAAAGGTGGAGAATAAAAGAATTGAGTGAGATGCTCCACTAATAAAAGCACATTTAAGGGGTGCCTGGGTGGCTTAGTTGGTTAAGCGTCCGACTTTTGCTTAGGTCATGATCTCGCGGTTTGTGGGTTCGAGCCCCACGTCGGGCTCTGTGCTGACTGCCAGCTCAGAGCCTGGAGCCTGTTTCAGAGTCTGTGACTCCCTCTCTCTCTGACCCTCCCCTGCTCACGCTGTCTCTCTCTTTATTCCCAGAAATAAATAAAACATTTTTAAAAATTAAAAAAAAAAATAAAAGCACATTTAAGGAATGTCTTGAAGACTGTAGAGCAAACCTCCACAGTGTATAGCCTTGTGTTTCAAGGAGGAAACAACTAGAACAAATGCCTTGGGCCAGTGCTGACCTCTCATGTTCCAGTCAGAGTAAGAAAGATAATGCAACCAAAAGCATGTGAGTGAGGAACAGCTTGGGAAAAGCTACAGTTTGATCATGAATGGCACTGAGGATCACTGGAAGAACTTTCCATTTTATCCCAATTGATAGCGGAATCACAACAGAGACTGGAACATTATGCTAAGTGCTTGAATAAGAAACGAGGAGAAGGCAGGCTGAATACCTAAAGAGAGGTAAGGTTAGCAGCAGATGGATGACTAACTGGATGACATATCACAGTCATTCAGGTGAGAGGTAATGAGGCCTGCAGTCAAAGTTCGGGCAGTACTGGACATGGCACCATTAAATACTTGAGGTATTTTGAAATTATTTCTTTTAATCCCTAAAGGATTTTCAGTTGAGTTGTTCAATTGGCATGAACAAAGGAAAGGTGTAGAGTATGACTCTCAAGCTTCATACATGAATAGTAGTAGAATGAGGGAATTGCCATCAGTTGAGATTATGGGAAAGCAGTAGAAATGGGTTAGAAGGGAAGATCAGGAATTCAGATACCAACATAGTAAGTATGAGATGCCTGTTGAGCATGTGAATATAGCTGTCAAGTCAACAGGCAAATCTCTAGGAATTTTGAAAGCAGTGTTGTCAGAATTAACTTTGAAAATGGTTAGTTTGTAAGCTCCTAAGAGGTGTTGAAAAGATGAGACTGGACAAGATGACCAAGGGGGTGACTTTAGGTGGAGTAGGTGAAAGGAAAATAGACTGGTGTGCAGGGAAATTCCACCAATAATTTTGGGTAGAAAGGAGAAACAGAGAAAGATATTTGAAAATTACCAACTATTTCTCAGTTGGACAGTAACAAGTCTCCTATGTCGGTCTCAGCCTATTGAAAATGACTCTATGGCTAG